ACTTATTGATGAAGATCAAAGATCACAGCCTTCAGTATGGATTACACCTCAACATAAAGAAAACAAAAATCCTCACAACTGGACCAATAAGCAACATAATGATAAATGGAGAAAAGATTGAAGTTGTCAAGGATTTCATTTTACTTGGATCCACAATCAATGCCCATGGAAGCAGCAGTTAAGAAATCAAAAGACGCACTGCATCGGGCAAATCTGCTGCAAAAAACCTCTTTAAAGTGTTGAAAAGCAAAGATGTCACTTTAAGGACTAAGGTGTGCCTGACCCAAGCCATGGTATTTTCAATTGCTTCGTGTGCATGTGACAGCTGGACAATAAATAAGGAGGACTGAAGAAGAACTGATGCCTTCGAATTATGGTATTGGCAGGGAATATTGAACATACCATGGATTGCCAAAAGAATGAATGAATTTGCCTTGGAAGAAGTACAGCCAGAATGCTCCTTAGAAGAGAAGCAAGGATAGCAAGACTATGTCTCACATACTTTAGACATGTTGTCAGGAGGGATCAGTCCCTAGAGTAAGACATCATGCTTGGTAAAGTAGAGGGTCAGCAAAAAAGAGGAAGACCCTCAACAAGATGGACTGAGACAGTGGCTGTAACTATGGGCTCAAAAATACAATGAGGATGGCGCAGGACTGGCCAGTGTTCTGTTCTGTTGTACATAGGGTCGCTATGAGTCGGAAGAGCCTGGATGGCACCTAACAACAGCAAGTGTTCAGATTGTGTTTTCCAAATATCATCTCTCTCTCAAAGGAAGCAGGGCAACTTGAACAAATGTCTAAGACAGGAAATAATCAATATGACCGAAAACATCTTTTTATACCAGATATCAAAGAATACTATACTATGTTTATGTCAAAAAGACTCAGGAGCCTATTTAAAGTTTATATTGGCCAAAGATGGGACAATTTTAGCATCAATAAGGATGGCAACTGCAATGAATCTAATTTAAACATTAAATACAGGCAGTCCTCACTGTGCATAGTAATACAGGACTGTAGAAAATGACTATGCAAGCTGAAACTATACAAAACAACCACAGTAATCAATGTGAACCCCACATTTGTCTGTCAGTT